TCATACTTCAGTCCGGTCCGATATCGGTTCTCATTTTATGAGAACCCGTAATGGCATTGTTTGGAACCATTACGGTCCGGTTCGGGACAAAAAAATTTAGATCCGTTTCAAACCTCGTTTGTCAGTCCGATATCATACCGGTCCGGTTCGGTACCATGCCGGTTCGGTACTTTTGCCCACCCCTAATATTTTTAGTGTAAAAATTCCGTATAAAGATTTTTCCAAAATATTCTTTGTACCGGCTTAGTCCGACACTCCGGCCCAGTGCTCTGGCTCCGCCCCTGCTCTCGACCTTGGACAATTGCATGGCCTTACGTTCGAATGCCGTACGGGCCTTGTTGAGGTACATGTCAGCTTGTAGACACTTTGCAATGTTGAACAGACGATCCATTCAAGGACACATGGTTCCTATGCCCTTAGAATTTTAATTCTTTGGCTATGTCCTCAACTGGACTTTGTCTCCAGATCCTCCAAACTAAGACAGTGGCAAACTCTGTTGGCGTAGAGTTAGGTTCAGTATCTGGTAGTACATATGTTTGGACTTCTGGTTCCCCCTATATATAGTGTGATCTTCTCCTCAGCAACAGGTTCTTGGAGCTTCTGTGGTAGCCAGCTTTCCTCTTAAAGACTTTTTTGTCAAGTTCTTCCTTTTCTCAACAGTGATGGCCTAAGCCCTGTTCTGAGTAGTGGTTAACAAACCAGAATAGTTCTCAAAAAGTTTCTTAAGTTTTCAAAAAAATATCATTGAGTAATGTTAAAAAACACTATGAATTCTGCAAAAATGAATTATTAAGTTGAGTGTTTATAATTCGCTTATTTACATTATAAAAGCAGTTTATACATCTTATTTATGACCTCATATGTATAGTTTTAGTTAAGTAAAAGTGTTTCACGAGATGCATTAGGGTTGGATTCGGTTCGGGCCACCCGGCCCGTGACCCGGCCCGGCCCGGTACTGTGCGGGCCCGGGACCGGCCCGGTCGGGCGGTCCGGGACCGGGTGTGGACCCGAACCGGTGGGAATGGGCGGGGCGGGCACGGTTCCGGATAAATGTGACCCGGCACCGGGTCCAGGCCAACGGTCTGATTTTTAAAAATATTTTTTTTTTTAAAATTGGTACTAGGCTACTAGCTGTTGGGGGTGGGGTGCAGGGGGGTCCGGAGGGGTTGGGTGGTGGGGGGGGGGGGGGGGTGGGGGGTAAAAAAAACCTATAAATACTCCAAATCTTAAACATTTTTTCATCTCTTCTCCAATTCTTCCTAAATCCTATTCTTAACTCTCTACTCTCTAATTCTCTTATTCTCCAATATATTATATTTATTATTTATATATCTACTTTATAGTTTATACTTAAGAAGTTAAGATGGAAAATCAAGATGCCACTATACGGTATAATTTTGATAAGCAGAAGGACCCGAAGACCGGGATGTGGTACGTAATTTGCAAATGGTGCGAGAAAAAATGTAGCATGGGGGTTTCAGGCGGATACGGGATGGCAATCAAGCATATGAAGTCGTGTGACAAAGCCAAAGGATCGGGAGGTGCGGGAAGTTCCGATTGATTACAATTTTCAAAATGTTTGTCTCTTAAAGTTTGTTTTAATTTTCAAATGTAGTTCCTATTTCATTTCAAATAAATGCACTTGAAGTTTGGTTTTAATACTCGTATAAAACTATAAACTATAAAATATAAATTATAAAAAAAAACTTTAACCGGCCCGGCCCGAACCGGACTCGACCCGTGACCCGGGCGGGTGGCCCGGCCCGAACCGGACCCGTCCAACCCTCGGGCCGGTCCCGGGCCCATGTCATACAAACCGGCGGCCCGACCGGGCCCGACCCGGCCCGAGTCCATCAATAAGATGCATAATACCACTTCATGCTACTCAATCCTCGGGTATTTCACTGTGATCATTAACTTGCTCAAAGCTACTCAGTCTTGTCTTATCCAATCAAGATTTCATCTAGAAGCCATCTTGAGATTCAGGTTGTTTGGTTGATGCTAAATGGCCAACTAAACTCTAAAGATAATACAATGATTACTTTAGAATTTGGCCAAGTGTTTGGTGAGCTAAGATGAAAAGTGATTAATTAATACTTTCTTCTCGTTGGATGTCTTAAGCGCTTCTTATTCTTAGTTGTACATTTTTCTTCAAAACTTTTCCTTTGTATTTATAACTCATAAAACATACTTCCTTCCCAATTTGATTTGCAAAATTTCCTATTTTGGATGTCCCAAAATGGTTTTCCATTTTCTACTTTAGGTATGTAATCAAGAATAAAGTGACAATTTTACCCTTACTTTTATTTTTTCCTCATTAACTTAAAGGCATCTACTTTTAGAAAGATGGGCAAAAGTGTAAAAGGCGAGCATCATTTATTGTCATTCCTTAATCCTTGAACCGGTTGGTTGGCCGGTTTGGGCCACCAGGCCCGGTGGGATCTCGGTTCGGGCGCAGGCCCTTCAAAACTTGAACCGGCACGGCCGGTTGGGGCCCAGGTCGGGCCAATTTTTTTTGTTATTGAATTTTATTTAAGATTTTGGGTTGGACTTGGTATTTTGGGCCATTTGAGGTGGTTAGGGTTGGTTTGGGGTGAGGGGGAGGGTTGGGGGTTAACTAGGAAAAGTCAAAAAAAATAGAACCGAGGCCCGGCCCGGACCCGGGGGTTACCCGGGCCGGTTCCGGGCCCCCCATACCTTGAACCGAGGCCCGACCGGTTCAAGGCCTGAACCGGGCCCGGACCGAACCGAGTCCATCCCTTGTTGGAAAGTCCCTTTGCAACCAACACCATTTTGACCAGGACCAGCTTGAACAAGTTCCCAGCAATTAATAAATTATAATTATCACAATCTTCAATCAATTATAACAGTAACATATCTTTGTAACAGTAACTAGTATGAATTAATAATTATTATTATTATAGACTCCTAATCATTTCTGGTAGGGTATTGAGCCTGTTGGAGTAACTCTAAAATTGTGGAATTGGGCCTGGGCCCAAAATGGAGGAATTGTATGTTTCATTGCCCCTTGGGCAGCCAAAGCAAGTGAGTCATTCATCTCTTTTCTTCTTGTGACTACTGAATTAGTAGTGACAATGGGGCTAGAGTTCAGCATTAGCATCTCCTGTCAAACTTTGTCTTCGAATTCGACGAGCACAGTATAGACTATAAATATCTTTGAACTGAGTGTCACCGGAGGTCCATATGGAATTTTCAATTGATTTGAACTCCGGGCAGAATCCCTCAGGTGCCTAGATGAGGAAGTCTTCATCGTCCACCGGTCGTTCTGGCAACACTAGCTCATCAACTAGGGTTCAAAGGTTGTGAAGATACTCACTGACAGATTGAGCTCCCTACTGCATATGGCAGATTCAATCTTTGAGCTTCCAGATCATGGAGGCTGACTGAGTTTGTAGAGCCGCTCAAGTTTCTTCGAGATAGTGCCAGAAGTGCATCCAGAGCTGATTTTAATGGTTTACAGGCCAAGCTAAGGGAGGAGGCTAGGGTGTGGCGGAGGAGTCCGTCTTTCTGATTCCATCAGAGAACCGACTGCATCACTTTCAGATGGCAATGCAGTCTTCTCTTCTACATACTGACTCAAGTGTGATTCGAACAGAAGCTCAAGAACCTGGTCATGCACTCATGCCAAATCAGGTAATTCGATCCATCTATTTTTCTGGGAAACTCCGTTTCCATCAATGGTCATCAGAGAACAGAAAGAGAAGACTGGTCTAAGGAAGGTAAATTTGCTGACTAAAATGCATATATTTTTCTCATGACAGTTATGTAATCACTATACTAATTACAAAGATATGTAACTGTTATAACTGAAGATTTTGATAATTATAATTTATTAGCTGCTAGAATCTTCTATACTTTCCACCATTATTATCAGCACTACTTCGGGTCAGTGGCACTAAATTCATTCATAGTGCGGATTCACTGTATTAAATTGGGAGATTTCCCAACATAGGAGTAAACAAATTTTCGAATTCCAAAATAGGATTGTTGTTCTTTCCAAAATAGGAGTAACATGGCAGTATTTACTGCCATCTTGTAGGTAAGACGGCCAAATAGTTGCAGTATTATGCATTCAACATGACAGTTTTATCCCAAGCTAGAATCAGCTATTTTGCTGATTTATTTGGCTTTTCCTCGTTTTCATTTTTAATGCTCAACTTTTTAGTTGTTTATATTTCATATTTGGGTCAGGTCTAGCCCCCCCAAATATTCCTCTATTTTATTTCGTGTATTTTTAAGAGGCATACCTCTTCGGAGAGGTTTTGGTTTGATCCCCTCATTTTGTCCCACCGATGGGTGATCCCACCATTTAAAAAAATGACAATATTTATTACAATTAATGACAGTATTTTTCAATCATGTCAACAATGACTCCTATTTTGGGAAGAAAAACATGGTAGTCCTATTTAGAATTCCAACAGTATGCACTCCTAATTAGGGCAATTTCCCTGTTAAATTAACTAAAACTGTACAATTCACGCAGAAAAAAATGGTGGCAATGTTTTATGTCGGATATGCTTCCTGTTGCGAGCTTACTAAGGATTAATAACATAAAATTAAGATCAACTCATCATAGGTAATTTCAACATGCATAGGGTTGATAAAGTTGCTATTATCATGCCCATTACATGATTGATTTTACATGCCCAACATGCAAATCATGAAACATGACAAACCAAATTGCTTCATGTTATACAAAAAACAATATACCAGATATCAGATAAAAAGCAATATATCAAGTATCAGATAGAGATGAATACCTGGAAAACCGATATCAGAAAACATACTGACAGATATAGTTGTGGAAACTTGGAGCTTAAGTGATTTGACAAAGCTGAAAAATACCCACCTGACAGCATATATGTCCTCCTTGAAGAAGTAATCTTTCATTTGACAAAAAGAAAATTTACGCATTCAAATCCCACCTGTGTCAAGATCATCTCAAATCCCACATGAAACAATTACCAACAGAGGATTTTGCAAGATGGGTGGACTTATTCTATTAAAAAACACATAACTTATATACAGAAGATGGGTGATGTTCAATGGCCTATATTGCTATAAATAAAAAATACAGCTTTGCTCTTAGAGCACTATAGAACTAAAGACACTACCTTTGTTGTACAAAAAAGAGATCTCTACAGTCATGGTCGTAAGAAAAATAAAAAGAAACAAAGCCCCAAAAGGATTTGAAAAGGCCACCTGAAGTGGACTCATGCGTGGTTGCTTAAAAGAATGCATTAACCCTAATACCAGGTGTAAGAGTTTGTATGACCCCATGTTCATTTGAACATTCTCAACAACAAGAAGTTCCCTTCTTGTGAGCATATACAATTATACAATACTGGCCAGAGATCATCAAACCATCATATTCAAGTCTGCAATTTGAACATTCTCAACAACAAGAGGTTCCCTTCTTGTCAGTGTATATAATATACAATACTGCCCAGGTATCATCAAACCATCATATTCAAGTCTGCAAGATCATCCATTGGGATTTCAAGCCCCATGAAATCGTGATCTTGTAATCCATCATCATCAAAGTTTAACCAAGATCCTATATCCTGTCCTTGGTTGCCCAGATCATCAGGAACACCTAAAACATCCATTCCAGGGAGCTGTAAGCCAGATAAATCAATAGGGTCCTCCAATTCTTCAGGCTCACAATCTTTCTTATCCTTGGTGGTGCGGTTTATGGTTATCTCATTTGGTTTTAATACCGAGGACCCGGTTGGCTTGGATTGCTCTGAAATCTTGCCAACTAGACTATTGATAGAAGTAGAGAGCTGAGCAGTTTTCTGTTTGGGTTTTGCTTTAGGCTTCCTTTCTCCCTTCATGGTGGTTGAGGCAGACCGACCAATTTTATTAGATCCATTTCTGCATAGGACCTCTCTGCAAGTTCCTTTTCCATCCCTCTCCCTCTCACTTCGCTTTCCTTTTGCAGTGCTCAAAGGCATGCCTGATGTAGCAACCTTATTACCAACATCATCGAGAAACAACTCTCTTCTTCTGACCCTATTCACTTCATAAACTACACTGCCTTCAGTAAATACTTCCTGGTTTGAAGATGGGCTTTGCTGTTTTCCTAATGAAACTGCAAATAAAAAATTATGTGCATGTTCATAACTGTGAAAAGTAAAGCATGCTCTCATCTGCCTCACAGGCACTAACTACAGAAAGCATACTTCAATCATTTAATGGATCACACACACAATAAATAAGAATACCTGAAGGTCTTGCATCCCCAGAGCTGCCAGGTTCACCATCAGTAATTGAATCTAATCGTCCATCACCAAAGTGGGATATCCCAGACATAAACATTTCTTTAAATAAAGACTCATTAAAGCAGCTCTTGCCAGTCTCTTCAAATTCTTGGTACCTTTTCAACGTTCTCTTAACAAACGCCAGTGCAGCTTGTTTTGCAATTTTCCCACTTTTCATCCCATGCGCATTACGGCCACAGCAAGCCTGTTAAAAAAGGTTCTGTCAGCAAACCACCCCAACCAAAAAGAAAAGCTAAAGCAGTATGTAAAGCTACTATTTCACCACTTACTGTATACACACATCCTAAAGATAAAAGGGAAGACTGCAGTCTTCATTTAGACCATAAAATGGATAAGATTTTTGTCTTTCTACAAACACTTCAACAAAAAGTGAAGCTAGAAGGGTAACAAGGGAAAGTAGAGCTTTGTGTTGTGTTTCTTATGTGAAATTTGGACATCCTTTTTTGTATGAGAGTGTATAATATGTCATCCTCAACGAGCTACCTCACATGCAAGCTAAATGGTTTTGGAGGGCTTACCATGTGGAAGTATTTGAGGGAAAGGCCTTTAGCCTTAAGGAGAACAAGTTACATTTCTTATAATATTATATAAGAAACCTAGTATAATTGCAATTCCTCTCAGACGTACTGACAAGAATCCTTTTTGTGGTCAAGGTACAACTATTTTACTTTGACAAGGGACAACTGTTAACATTCCATTGATAGAGTACGCAGTAGTTCCAGAAGAAATAACAATCAAGCTAACTTCAGAAAAACAGTAATTATCATTAATGGCGGTAGACAGTACAATCCAGTCCCAAAGAGAAGAGAACTATTCTCTACTCTCCCAGTCCCAATGCCAAAGCATCAAACAGCCTGCCCTCTCCTTCCCATACTATTCTATTTATAGCCTTCCAGTACAACCTACTCTAGTTATTAGTTAATAACAGAAATATAACTAACAACTAACTCTTCTATTTATTAGTCTCATAGGTCGATCCCTATCAATACTCCCTCCCTAAACATCCACCTTGCCCTCAAGGTGGCTGATAGGAAACAGCCGCAACTTTCAGCTTCATCTTCATTCTTATGCCCCGTCCTTCCCAATATCTCACTGAATCCTGGATTTGTAGCTTCACTACTTGAAACTTCATCTTCCTGTTCTTCACTTCAGCAGCAGAAAGTGAATCTTCCTTTGGTTCAGTCACCTTCCCGTACTCCCTATCCAAAATTATTTCTTCATTTTTCTGCAGCTTCTCCTGATTTCTATGTTCTGAAACTGATACTGTACTGAAAGCAAACTCCTTTTTGTACCTTCCAACTTCTTCCTCTTTCAGTTCTTGGCTTATCTCATTTGATAAGGAAGACATAAAAGGCATTAACAAGCAAAGGTAAAGATATCTTATCCCATTCAAATGCACAATAGCAGAAGAAACAACTGGATAATAGTCTTTATGATCCTTTGAAATATAAGAAACAGAAAGTCCCTCTTCGACCTTGGTTTTCAAAATGGCTGTAATCATAGTAGACGAGGGCCTCCCAACAGTCAATTCCTGATTGTATATAGCTGTTTCCAAATCTTTATCATTCATAACAAGCCTGCTACCGCTCATAACCTTCATCCAAGTTAGTGAACCTTTATGTGAAATCAATGTACTAGTATCACTAGCAGCAGCATATGACACAATACTTAGGCTTGTGATTAACTCGGCTAAACCACCATATACAATGCTTTTGATGATCTCAATTTTGTTCCCTTCTCTTGCATTGCCTCCTTGCTCCATCTCATGTATTTGGGTGGCTAAATGTGGCACCTTAATTGATTCTGCAGAAACAGTGGGCCCTTCTTCTACAGTTATAATGGTATCCCTACCTTTATCTTCATGAGCATCTGTTGAAATATCAAACTTAGTAAGACCTTCTGATCCTTTCTAGTTTCAGCCAAGTGATGATTTCATGAAAGAAAAACCACTAGTAGGGATATGGATGGAGTCTCGCTCAGTCAAGAGAGTTGTAGGATTCGTAATTGAGAAGCGGTTAAGAGCCTTTACTTTCAAATGACAACTGCTTATAAGTACAAAAACTGGTGATATCAGTGAGAGGACAGCTTCATCATCTGAACTTTTGTTCTGCACTTCCCTATCGCATAATTGGTCAGCTTGCTTCTTTCCTAAACTCAAAGACTGTGTATCAATGCATGAATTCTCTGGCCATTGGGTAATCAGTCCTTGCTCCTCGGTTTCATCCTTCTTATTCATTTTCTTGGTTACAACTTCCGTTGGCTCCATCTCAGTCTTATTTATTGACTGGTGCAATTCTTTCGCAGGTTGAGAAACTTGTGAACTCATCAATCCTGACAGTGAAAAAACTGGCGAAGACCTCGATGACTCTGATTTTGCTGTCTTCCCTGTCTTCTGCCGGTGTCTAGGTGGAAAATCCCTAATCAAATCTTCCTTTAAAGCCTCCCAACTTTCTTCTCTCTTGTGAAAATCCCACCATTGAAACCAGCCATCTGCTGCATCCCCCATTGCCTTGGCTGCCATATCCACTTTAAATCTTTCTGCAATAGCTTGGACTCGGAAATATCTTTCCATCCTTTCTATCCATTTGTACGCTTCATCCTCGTAAAATAGAGGTAATTTATCCGTTTTTGAATTAGCTGAGTTCCGAGAAACTGCTTTAGAAGAAGATAGCAAACTGTGAGAATCATTTGGTGAAGAAGAAGATTCTCCTCTCAATCGTGTCTTCCTAGAGTGCGAACTGATGTCCGTTGAGATAGTCTGGTGCGAAGAGCGAAGATAAGACTGATGAGAAGAACTCTGCGAAGAGCTATGTGAAGAGCTTGGCGAAGAAAAAGTTCGATCGCCAGATTTTCTGCGATGCCTCCGCTCTTCTGAGTCCTCTGGACTCGCTGACCTTCGTGTATGATGAAGATGAGAATCCCGATGCGATGCGTTTGACGCATGCGATCTGTATCGCGACTGTGAACAGTGACGCGTAGTTTGCGATTGCGAGCCCTGAGATTGCGAAGTAGTTCGCGACTCCGACTGCGAATCTGTGAGCGATTGCGACGGACTCTGCTTGTCACAGAGACGATGATGCCTGGTGTTGCTCGATCGATCTCCATGTTCCTTTCGAAGCTTCGGTTCTTGATGCGACGTATCAGAAGTGTGCGATGGATTCATCGATCGACTATGAAGTCTGTGTTGTATTTCCGCGATGCTAGCTTTCATAGCTACCATCGTCTTCGCCATATCAGCTTGCCTAGCTGCGGTCTCTCTCAGATTTCTTTCTATATCCGTCACACGTCCTTCCATCTTCCCAAGATAGACGTGCTCTGATACCACTGATAGAGTACGCAGTAGTTCCAGAAGAAATAACAATCAAGCTAGCTTCAGAAAAACAGTAATTATCATTAATGGCGGTAGACAGTACAATCCAGTCCCAAAGAGAAGAGAACTATTCTCTACTCTCCCAGTCCCAATGCCAAAGCATCAAACAGCCTGCCCTCTCCTTCCCATACTATTATATTTATAGCCTTCCAGTACAACCTACTCTAGTTATTAGTTAATAACAGAAATATAACTAACAACTAACTCTTCTATTTATTAGTCTCATAGGTCGATCCCTATCATCCATCATTTGCAATGGACCCAAAGACTCGCTATTTTTTGGCTTGGTAATATGATGGAATAAAGCAAAATGACTCACTAAACTGTTTGCGCTTCTTTATTATGACGCAGCAGTCAGTCCATGCAATTTCCGACGTGATTTTCACTATGGGTCATCCGGAAATAGTCTCTATGTGCTTTAGTACATGGGTAAGGCTGTGTACATCCAACCCCCCTTACCCCACTGTAGGTGGGAGCCTTTGCGGCATTGGGGTAATGATGATGATGATGATGAAGGGACAACTGTTAAAAGAAATGAAATCCTACTTAAACTTAACTGCAATGATTGGTTAAACTAGATTTATCACACTGATCTAGTATGTAATTCTTTTTAACATAGTTCATAAAAAATCAACTTTCATTGAGGAAAGAGGGAAAAAACTTTTGAAAATGACTACTTGGGAGACAGGAGGACTATATAAATAACCAATAAGAAAAAAAAGAACTTGCAAGTGCTTGACTAAAGTACATTGCATTGTAGCAGAAATATTACCAAATCATAATAATAACATTGTTAGTGAACAGCCTGCACAAATAGAAATTTCATCTAGCAACAGCTAAAATGAATCTACAAAGAATCATTAAAAATTCTTAGAAGATGCATAGCTGTTTCACAATTTCATACAGTAAACGTTAGGTTTTTATGAGTAGCTTGTCACATGGCTATTACAATAGGAGGATGTTTGGCTTCTTCCAAACTGCTAAATTTAGTTTTTACACACCTGCTATCCAAATAGCTATACCAATATTGAGCTAAGAATATAACTAACTGGAAAAAAACACTAGTTTAAAAAACATATATACTAGTGCTGCAATTAAACTTTGAAAGTATATATACTCCTGCAGTACCAAAAAATACAAGTTTCAAAGACTTTCAATGTAATTCACAAAACATATCATCACTCCAGTAAAACAACAAATAAATTTACATTATACATGTAGACTTAACCATTTAAGGAAACTTTACCTTACCCAAACTAATAAAGTTGTACATTCATCGTACAAGGGACTTCTTGGGATGATGGTAGCAAATATTTTTGAAATAAGTATTAGACTCTACAGTCTTGAACATATTGCCTGTCCCATAATGTTCTTATTTACTTTATGTACTGTTTGTAGACACTGAAATTGTGTGGTTGAGATTTATTTACAACAAAAGAAATCTATATATATCATACTCCTTCCGTCTCTTATAACTTTGTCAACTTTCCCTTTTAAATTAAGAGGCCGTTTGGTAACCACATTTTTCAGCTTATCGGGCTTATCAGCCAACTTTTTGACCAAACACGTAACTTTTAGTTTCGCGCGCTGAATTGTGTAATAATAAGAAAAAGTAAGGTTGAAGTTACTTTTCTGGTTGTATTGGCTGAAGTTATTGTAGATGACCATTTTAACTATTTTTACATATTATTTTTTCTTTACTTTATTAATAAAATATATTTCAAGTATTTTTTTTTTAAATCAGCAAAATCAGCCAATCCAGCAACTTCTGACAGAATTTCATAAATTTCAGCAGGATAAGCCGATTTCCGTATTACCAAACGGGTTCTAAGAATTTGTGGTTCTTATTAACTCTCATTTGCACAAACCTCAACCACACGGTTTTTACTTTTTTATTCTACGTGTCAGTCAAATTTGGCACAGTTATAAGGGGGGGAGGGAGTACAATTTTGTTAGTATGACTTGACATTTCATTTTTAAAGGTTAATCTACTAAGAGTAGGCAAGATCTTACATGTTGGTTTCTTATTTTATAATAGATATATACAACTTCAAACTGCCCATTGTCAATCATAGGGCCAAAAGAATAGATGATTGATATTTACAGGTCATTCAAATTTTATAACGGTGTAGACACAGAAACATCATCATCATTACCCCAGTGCCGCAAAGGCTCCCACCTACGGTGGGGTAGGGGGGTCGGATGTACGCAGTCTTACCCCTGTACTAAAGCACAGAGAGACTGTTTCTGAATGACCCGTAGTGGGTGTAGACAGAGAAACGTCAAGAATAAAAATATGGAAATTTGCCACATACTCCCTCAATCCCAAATTGTAAGATACATTGACTATTCACTTGGTCAACATAAACCACTCTTAAACTTTTATTTTATATATCAAAAGTTTATGAAATTTGATTATTTTTTGCAGGTTTTGTAGCGGAGTTTATGTAGTTTTTGAATATGTAAATTTTATTTTCTAGAACTAATTTGTGTGTTGACAGGGATCAATTTGCTTTATCGTCAGTCAAACATCGTAAACCGAAATGTATCTTGCAAATTGGGACGGAGAGAGTATCATTTAAATATCAAATCTGATTTCAATGAAAGAAACAGTGATATAAACAAACTCCAGTTGAAATTACGTTTTACGCAAGATGTGGGCATCATGATCTCATTTCCAACAAAAACAATTACGTCAATGTGAAATTTAATCCATTAAACCATAATGGCATAATGAAAAACTGCACTATAAATTCTCATTGAGGAACATCCAGAATTACCATATATTTCTTATATGCCATCTCTACAAGTTTGCCAAAAGCAAGCTGTTCCAAGTCCCTGCAACACATAAATTTGATTAGGAAGATACCATGCAGAGGCTATATAACATATCACAAAGCACACTATATTACTTCTCTTGACACACTCTTGTCTTATCAGCATAGTTCAGCAGCTTGTGCAGCATACCGTTCTTTTGCGATACCTACAAATAAAAGAGAAAGGTTAAATGAATTGCAACAAGAGTGGCTTCAAGTATTATATGTGTGTTTCAGTTTGTAATCAAGATCTCTATGGTCATGCTTGCAATTTCACAGAGATTTACCTAAAGTCTATGTTTAAAGAACCGGACCAGGAAGTGATCCGGTCAACGACCCGAAACCCGGTCAACACCAATCATTAAATATATATATATAATCACCTCATGATTTAAAATAAATAATACAATATAAGAAAAACAAAAAACTATTCTACTCTTTATTGGTTTTAACAAAGTCTAAATGCAATTGAAATTATGTGAATAACAAATATGAACATAACACCAAACAACAACAACAACAACAACATCCAAGCCTTAATCCCAAAAGAATTTGGGGTCAGCTAAAATGAATCGATCTATGATAAACATATACATAATTGGGAAGTAGATTAATAGAATTAGTTCATATGTATTATGATTGTTCTATTAATTAAATAATTAGTTAGTTAATTACTCCCTCCATCCCTTAAAGTTTGTCACACTTTCCCGAAACGGATGTCCCAAAATGTTTGTCTTACTTTTTAAACTTCCTTATTTGGTAAACAAATCTATACCAAACAGTGTCAAACAAAGAAAAACAATGTCAAACAGTGTCGCTACAGTGTGAAACAGTGTCACTACAGTGTAAAGTCAAATTCATCTCCTTAAAACCGAGGTTGTTAAGATCGCGTGTCAACTCGTAAGATCGTCCGATCTTACGAGTAAAGTGGACTTGGGCGATCTGGATCATGCTAATGATCAGAAAACATGGCTAAATCGTGGGATCGACGAGCTGAATAGTAAAAATGCCGGATCAGCGTTCCATGTCAATCTGCGAGAGAGAAGTCGCAAGGCTGGGTCGAGTACTGTTCAGTGAATATGGAAAAGCTCTGACATCGGAACTCCAAAAGATGCGAAGGAATTACAAAGGCTCAAGCGTCCTAAAAGTCTTAAAATGGAACGTAAATTACGAAGAGTCCTAGTTAATGTATAAAGTTGGTCATTTGCAACTCCTCTGTTTCTCTTCTTAGAGGAGAATAATTTTTATTTTTCACCGTCTGTCCCCTAGATACCAGTTCTTCATATCCCAACTGAGACATATTTTGTAATCTCTTAATATCCATAATAAGTCTTATTTTATAGCCATAAACCTATTTAAGTTATTAATTACTTAGGGTGGATTAAAATAATTTTAAATTTAATTAATTATAGATGTATATTTTATAAATTTTAATGGTCATGAATTTATTTAAGTAATTTATTATTAAGGGTGAATTAAAAGAATTTTAAATATAACTTAATATAGATATATGTTTTATAAATATTACATATGAGCTTTGATTCTATGATCTTACGATCCGAGTTACGATCCACGAGTTACGATCTACCAGCCCTCATCCGATCCGTGATAGGATCTCGAGTTTAACAACCTTGCTTAAAACTTGTTTTGTCAAACTATGACAACCTTTGAGGGACGGAGTGAGTAATACGTAGTATTAAGTAAAAAAGTTGCAGGTTATAAAAGGTATATAAAGGACTAAGTAATGTATGGTATTGGTAACAACGAACTTGTGTAGTACAGCAGAACGGAAGGCCTGTGCAAGGCTGCAGGCGCGAGTTCAATTCCCGCAGGAAACCTTTGCACCCGGTTTTTTGCTGTTTCGCGGGTCTGGAATGGGCCGGTTCTGATCCAGGTTTAGGCGGGTCGCCAGTTATTTCTGGATTTAGATATATTAACGGTTTAGAGGTTAACCGGACCAAATGATTGACCGGGTGGCCGGGTTCCGGGTCGAACCGCCCGGTCCAATCTGGTTCTTTAAACATAGCCTAAAGGTGATATATAAGTGATAAATAACAAAGATGGGAGGAAAATTTTGGTCTAGATGATAGGTTTTGAAGGGGCATGTACATAGTGATTTTTTCATTTTCCTCTCCTTGCCCTTTTGTGTGTTTTTGGTTTCAAGGGAGTGAAGAGAGGGGGAGAAGGGAGTGGAGACTGGGGATAAAATACCAGTCTCAGCGATATATACATTGACTAAAAGATCATACCAGTTCCTGATACTTCTTGTCTAAATTACTGATATCTCCCCTAATTTCTTCTTCCCGGTTCTGCGCCATGCCAGTCTGCATTAAATAACAACCTATCATGTAAATGAATAATAAAATAGCAGAGTATCTATTTTTATGATGCTTAACAACATAGTTCAACAAACCTACATCTGGTTCAGGGTAGATTCCAAGATATTCTATCTCCAGGAGAAGTCTCTCATCTATTGACATCTTATTATACTGATATTCAGTAAAAAGAACATCAGACACCACTATTTCATCTGGCAATAGACCGTTCTGGGTAAGGTTACACTCTGATAAGAAATGTGATTCTCTAGCAGGTCTAATGCTACTATCTAGCATACTATGGTCTGTCTCACTAAATGAATTTCCACTCGCATATTTCCTATAGCCATTAGAAGCAGGGTGTCTTGAAACACTGTTGTATATTGTTCTTGCATGAAATATGTCCGAATCTGAATCTGTGTCTACATCAAATGCAGGCTGGTAGGCACTGAACTTGGGATCTTCATTACCGCAGCAAGATAATTCTTCACCTGCTTCTTCAGGGATTAGCGCTGCCATCAGTCTCTGATATAAGGAGATTGGGGCAGACTTAGTTGTTCCTGAAACTCCATGCTCTGCAAAAAAGTCAACACTTTCGACTTCATCCCCATCTCCATCGAACCCATTCGGAAATATATTCAACTTGCTCGCCTCAGTAGATATTGGAGCTGGCGTAGCCACAGCATTTCTACCATTCATCTGGAGAAAGACACCAAACGAAGAATATACATCAACCCAAATATAACCAATAAAGACCAAAATGTTAGATAGCTTGTTAGATATTGATATAGAGACATTCACGAGCCCTAGTCATTATATAAGTTGTTCTATTATTAATTATTAGGTTCTGTGTGGGAATATAGGGGTAAAGTCATGTTGTGTAGTTTATATAAGTGAAATCACATTTCCTGACTCCTGCTACCAAAAACTAATGAGAACAAGTCTTATGCGGAAATATTTAGAAATAACATATTGTCCCAATCTAGCTTACAGTATAATTTCAGTTAGTATGGGCTATGGAGATTAAGTGAAGTACAATTGGCTATAATTTCAGTAGGCATGGGCTATGGAGATTAAGTGAAGTAAAATTGGCTATAATTTCAGTTGGTATGGGCTATGGAGATTAAGTGAAGTAAAATTGGCATAAATGTTTATGTTTGCTGCCTAAAGTAATGTTTACAAAAGTACTTTAAAAGTAAGTTGTGATTCGAGAAAATTTAAAATCATAACTACTTCACAAGGTTCTATTGATTCAAAATATGTTGAAAGTAGGACAGTTGAAATGACGTGATAGAAGCACAGCTAAATCGAACACTAGAGATAAATACTTTGGCAGGGTGTATTCTAGAAGGAAGAAACCAGCTGCTAGTTATTAATTATAGTCTGTTAATAACTAAATAACTACTTCTGCTGTTCGAACTACTATAAATAGAAGGGAGGTTGGGGGAAATAGGTAGGTTGTTAGTAGTCAGGACTGGGAAAGATTGAGATTCACTGTCTCTCTCTTTTGGGGCTTCGGCCATTGTAGCTGGTTTCATTCAATAAAGTTCTGGAAAATTCTTCTATAGTTTGCTCTATATTTTTCTGTGAAATTATTGAGCTCTATCAGTGGTATCAGAGCACGTAGATCGATGGATGAGATTTACGCGTGCTAAGATGGAAGGTAGAATGAATGATCGGGAGAAAGCAAACACAGCTATGGCTACGGATATAGCGGAGATACGAGCCGCGATTGCAACCTTGGTGGCGCAAGGTCAAAATCGATCGCGAAGTAGATCGCACACCTCATCTACCTCGCATCGCAATTCTCGCAACCATCATTCACGACATTCAGAGAGTTCGGATGGTTCAGAAGGGAACTGTAACTATTCTGCAACACATCGCCAACATCATCGCCGCCAGGAACGTGATATCCATCACCGAACAGGGAGGAGGATTATTTACTGTTATTCAACGGAGAAGATGCGTATGGCTGGTTGATAAGAATTGATCGCTATTTCAGACTTAACTATATCGAAGAGGAAGAGAAGGTCAATGTAGCAGTTGTGGCCATGGAAGACAAAGCATTGAGCTGGTTCCAAGGATGGGAGAATCAGACACATGAGAGGAACTGGGGAACATTAAAGGCGGCCTTAATTCGTCGATTCCAACCGGAGTTGGTTCAGAATCCTTTGGGGCCCTTATTAAGCCTCAAACAGAAAGGAACGGTGCAAGAGTACAGAGATCAGTTTGAATTGGCTGTGGCTTCTCAAGATGATTTGAGCATGAAGGTTACTAGAGGATTTTTTTTGAATGGATTGAAGAAGGACATTAGAGCTGAACTAAAGCTCTATAAGACAAGAAATTTGGCTGATATCATGGACACTGCATTGTTCATTGAACATAAAAACAATGAAGCTGTATCAAGGAGAAACAAGGAGGAAGGGAAGAAAATCTGGAAAAATAGTATGAGTGGAGGACAGAATTACGGCAAGTGGGGGGATGGAAGTAAAAGAAACTATAACATAAATCATACCAATCCAGTTGAGAAGAATTCTGTTGATAGCAAGAAGCAGGATGAAGGTTAACTCAGAAGTCAGGTCCCAGGCTAACTCAGAATGAACTTTTGGAGAGAAGTAAAAAAGGGCTATGTTTCAAATGCGGAGATAATTGGGGCAGGGGCCATATTTGCAGAATGAAGAACTTCAAAATGGTGTTGGTTGAGCAATCTGAAGGTGAAGATGAGTCTGATACTGCCTCTAGTGATAATGAAGACGGAGAAGGGGTTCATAAGGAATCCAAAACTATGCAATTATCTGTACTCAGTAAAGAAGGGATATTTTCTTTGAGAACCTTCAAGGTAAAAGGCTGTCTGAAATGGCTAGACAATGAACAACAGGTGAATATTTTGATTGATAGTGGTGCTACCCACAACTTTATATCCCAGAAAATTGTTGATAAATGGAAAATACCTTTCCAATGTATCAAGGGATATAAAGTACAAATAGGGAATGGAGCTTTGATTCCAAATTTTGGTAGGTGTGAAGGGATGAGATTAAATGTGCAAGGGAATGAAATTCAACAAGATTTTTATATATTGGAGTTAGGAGGAACTGACATGGTGTTGGGAATGGAGTGGTTAACTGATTTGGGTGATATGGAGATTAATTTCCAAAATCAGGTTATGAAATGGAGGAAACAAGGGTTGAATCAGTCTATTCAGGGGGATGCAGCCTTGAATAACATGGAAGTCTCTTTTAAAACTATGACTCACATCTTACAACAAACAGGAGATGGATATTTGTTGTATTATGAAAGTCAAGGTACTGAAGGGCAGAAACAGACACAAAATGGGAAGTGGAATGGAGTGATGGAAGAATATCCTGAGGTTTTCAAAGCTAGTTTGGATATGCCACCTGTCGAGCATTGTGACCATGCTATAAATATCAAGGAATGGGCCAGTATACCAAATCTCAGACCTTACAGGTATTCATATGATCTAAAGAATATGATTGAGAATATTATTCAAGAAATGCTAAGCTCTGGAATTATCAGAAACAGTAACAGTCCTTATAGCAGCCCAGTGTTATTAGCTAAGAAGAAGGATGGGGGTGGAGAATGTGTGGAGATTATAGAGCATTGAATAAGATAACCATTCCAGACAAATTCCCTATACCAATTATTGAAGAACTCTTAGATGAATTAGGGGGGATCTAAGGTGTTCTCTAAATTGGATTTAAAATCTGGTCATCACCAGATTAGAATGAAAGAGGAGGATGCACATAAAACAGCTTTCAGAACCCACGAAGGGCATTATGAATAAGTTGTCATGCCATTTGGGTTGACCAATGCACCTTCTACCTTTCAAGCGTTGATGAATGAAGTCTTGAGGCCTTTCTTAAGGAAGTTTGCTCTAGTGTTTTTTGATGATATTCTGATTTATAGCAAATCAGAAGAAGAGCATGTTGAGCATTTAAGAAAGGTACTACAAGCTTTGAAGGAGAACAGTTTGGTAGCTAACAAAGCTAAGTGTTCCTTTGGACAGACTACCTTGTCATATTTGGGTCACATTATATCTGAAGAAGGGGTGTCTGCAGAGTGCAGATCCTAGCAAAATAGAAGCGATGGTCAGTTGGTTAGAACCAAGAGATCTAAAAAGCCTGAGGGGTTTTTTGGGGTTGACAGGGTACTACCGGAGGTTTGTAAAAGGGTATAGCAGAATTGCAGCCCCTTTAACACAATTACTGAAGAAGGACAACTTCCATTGGGGAAAGGAAGTATGGCTTTTGCAGAACTAAAACAAGCCATGACTTCCTTACCAGTCTTAACCAATCCAGATTTCAATAAAGACTTTATTATTGAAACAGATGCTTCTAGTAAAGGGCTGGGGCTGTATTAATGCAAGAAGGGAGGCCCATAGCATACATGAGTAAGGAACTATCTGTCAAGCATCAGACCAAGTCAATTTATGAGAAGGAATTAATGGCAATAGTTTTTGCTGTTCAGAAATGGCGACCTTATTTACTGAGGAGGAAATTTGAAGTACATACTGACCAGAGAAGTCTTAAATACTTAACTGAACCGACAGTCATGGGGGCAGAACAGCAGAAATGGATAGCCAAATTGCTAGGCTATAATTTCTCTATCAGATACAAACCAGGTTTGGAGAACAAAGCAGCAGATGCTTTGTCCAGGAAAACTCAGTTTAATTCAATCTCAATAGTCACTTGTTTGGAATGGGAAGGATTGGAGGAGGAGTTGTTAGCTGATCAGAAATGTTATGAAACCATTCAGAAGGTATTAAGTCAACCAGATCAAGTACCAGAATTCAGATTGAAGAAGGGATTGTTGTATTTTAAAGGGAGGTTAATGTTACCAAAAGGGTCTCCTAGGATTGCTAAAATCCTTAAGGAGTATCATGATTCAGCCACAGGAGGTCATTCTGGAAATTTTAGAACTATGAAAAGAATATCAACCTTATTTTATTGGGTTGGTATGAGAAAGGATATTCAAGATTATGTTCAAACATGTGAAATATGCCAAAGGAACAAGTATCAGGCATTGAAACCAGCTGGGTTGCTACAACCTTTACCCATTCCAGAAAGAATTTGGGATGATATAAGCATGGACTTTATTGGTGGATTGCCCAAATCTAAAGGGAAGGATACCATTTTGGTGGTAGTTGACAGGTTAACAAAATTTGCACATTTCATAGCCCTTAAACACCCATATACTGCTAAGGAGGTAGCTGAGTAATTTATTAAAGAAGTGATGAAGTTGCATGGATTTCCCAGATCTATTGTGAGTGACAGAGAGTATTTTTTTGAGCAAATTCTGGTCAGAATTATTCAGATTGGCTGGCACTCAACTGAATTATAGCACAGCTTACCATCCACAATCTAATGGGCAGACTGAGGTGGTGAACAGATGTCTGGAGACATATTTGAGATGCTTGACTGGAAAGAAACCTAAAGAGTGGATACATTGGTTACCTTGGGCAGAGTATTGGTATAATACCAATTACCACATATCCCTAAAACAGACTCCCTATAAGACACTTTATGGACAAGATCCACCTGTGATCATCAAAGGAGATGTATCTATTACTGCTATTGATGAAGTGGCAAGGATGACTGCTGAAAGAAACAGAGTGTTAAATGAAATCAAGGAAAACTTAGCTATTGCTCAAAATAAGATGAAGCAACAGGCTAATAAGCACAGGAGGGAACTGAAACTAGAAGTTGGGGAACAAGTTTTTCTGAAGATTCAACCCTACAAGATGCAGAGCTTGGCCAAAAGATTGAACCAGAAATTAAGTCCCAGGTTCTATGGACCTTTTGAGGTTATTGAGAAGTTGAATGATGTTGCTTTCAAACTGAAGTTACCGGAACATTGTATGATACACCCAGTATTCCATATTTCTCTACTCAAGAAAGCATCATCCCCAAACACTCTTTGTCAACCGTTGCCTAAATGCTTGAATGAGAATTGGGAATTAATAGAAATGAAGCAAGGTAGAAGCAGAAATGAAATCATCTTACTTAGAATCAGATATTACAGAGTATTTATACAGGAAGTAATCATAGCTAACATAACCGAAGCTTAACAGAAAGCAGTTACATTGCTTTACAAAGAAATACACGTGTGGTTTTCCTACACTATTCCTAACATTCCCCCCTCAAACTGAGGGTGATTGAGTTGGAAAATCAATCACACTGAGTTTGTTTCTGAACTCAAGAAAGGTGGAAGCAGATAGAGGCTTGGTCAACACATCTGCAATTTGCTGGGAGGCTGGAATGTGAAACACTTCAAGCTGTTTTAGTAGGACTTTCTCTCGTACAAAGAAAAGATCAATTTCCATGTGTTTTATACGAGTATGCAGAACAGGATTGTGAGCTAGTTGCACTGTACTAAGGTTGTCACAGTAGATTCTGGGAAGAGTGAAAGGAGCTTGAAGTTCTTTGAGTAGGAATTGGACCCATAAAGTTTCTGATGTAGTATCTGCTAGGCTTCTATATTCAGCTTCTGCTGAAGATCTGGCTACCCTTAGTTGCTTTCTGGACCACCAAGAAATAATATTAGGGCCCAGAAAAATGCATGACCCAGATGTAGACTTCCTGTCTGTAGGATCTGATGCCCAATCAGCATCACAAAAGGCTGTGATAGGTAGAGGTGTTTTTGTCAAAGGAAGAGGTTTGATCAGTAATCCATGAGTGATGGTTCCAGAAAGATATCTCAGGATATGCTTCACAGCTTTCCAATGTTCTTGTAAGGGATTGGCCATAAACTGACACACTTTATTTACAGCATAGCTGAGTTCAGGTCTGGTTAAGGTAGCATACTGTAGGTCCAGGTATATTTGGTGAATGCATCAATGAAGGATATATAGTAAGTGTAGCCATCAAAGGACTGAATAGGAGCTGGCCCCCATAAGTCAGTATAAATCAGTTCAAAAGGAGAATGAAAAACAGTTGTAGATGGATAAGAGGGTAGTCTGTGAGCTTTACCCAAACAACATGCAGAACAAAAGTCAATAGCATTTTTATTGATATATGGAATATTACATAGATTCATTACAGACTTAAGGGCCTCAAAATGAGGATGACCTAGCCTTAAATGCCAAATATTACAACTGGAGGTTGATTGAGAGTTATTACAAGTAGATACAAGAGAACTAGGAAACACAGATGTATGGGGATGAAACTTGGACAGATTTGAAGTAGAGTTGTGAGAACCAAGAGCTGGAAAGGATTGAAACTTGTAAAGACCATCTTCACCAAGTATTCCATACAGCAGAACCTGTTTAGAAACCTGGGATTTAACAAAACATTCATGAGGATGAAATTCAAAAAATGCATTGTTATCCTTGGCAAATTGGCTGACACTTAATAGATTTTTGGTAATACCAGGAACATGTAAGATTTTGTTGAGAGATAAAGAAAGAGATGATTGATAGGGTGAGGGAAAGGATGAAAAACCAATAGACTTAATTTCCAAACCTTGACCATTGCCCATAAACAGCTTATCAGTGGTAGCAATTGGCTCACTGTGTTGGAGATTGAGGGGATCAGCAGTAACATGGTGTGTAGCTCCATGTATAGAAGAGTTTGGGAACCAGTTCTGAGAATTTGGGGGTGGTCCTAGTATAGAAGAGTTTGCACAAGCCCAGGCTGCAGTTGGCACAGTAGGGGATGAATTGAGTTGTGAGAGATGATTACCTTGCTGTGGATAGGGATAAGGTGGTTGGTTGGGTGAGTATCTTGCTATATTTGGAGGAAGCAGTTGGTATTGATTTGAGTAGAGATGTGAAGGTGGTTGTTGATATTGATTTGGTTCGTACTGAGGTTGGTGAAATTGATTTGAGTGAGAATATGAAGATGAAGGTTGTTGCATAGGACGAGGAAGCTGTTGCTGCATATGAAAAGGATTGGTACCAGTATAGGCTGGATTGTATCTGTGGTAACAAACGAGTGCGCTGTGACCATTTTTCCCACAAACTTGACAAGTAACTGAGCTTCTACCTCCTGAACGACCACCTCTGCCCCTATTGAAACCTCCACGACCTCTACCTCTGTAGGAGGAGTTGATGTTTGAGGTGTCAAAGTGAGCGGAAGTATCAAACTGAGCAACTTGAGCTGAAGCTGTTTCTGAATTGTCCTGAGCTTCGGTTTCAGTATTTTGAGTGGAAGATTCAAGTCGAGCAACATTAGCAGCAAATATTGTTTGTTGCGAGGACTCACGAAGTTTCTTCAGTCGTAATTCTTTTGCTAGCAGAAGACCTTCAAGTTCAGATAAGGTAACAGGATCTAAGATGCTTCGCGAGGACACAGATGATATAAGTGACTCGTAATCCTCAGGAAGACCTTCAAGGATCACATTGATGTGATCCTTGGTTGATATAGGCTCGCCGACAGAAGTTAGGTTATCAACAATTGTTTGAATTCGAAGCAAGTATTCAGAAATAGAACGATCACCTTTCCCGGTGTTATACAGTTCCGATTTCAGTTGACGAGCTCGCGCGATGATACTTGAGCGGAAGAAATTCTGAATTTCACTCCATAGCTCATGCGAATGCTTGCAGCAGATGACGCGAGCATGAAGTGATTCTGAAAGCGAAGCTAAGAGCCACGAAAACAGCATTTGATCTTGTTGCTCCCAGGTGTTGTATGCTTCGTTAGCTGTTTTCGCTCCATTTTCATCAACTGAGAAACGATCTGGTATCTGAGGATTTTCTATGAATCTGAGAAGTTTATGAGCTCGGATTACTGATTCAACATGATGGCGCCAAAACAGAAAATTGTTTGAATCGAGTTTAATAGGTAGAGGATGATGAAAAATAATAGGCGAAGATTGATTAGGAATGTGAGAAGATGATTGCGAAGAAGAAGATGATTCAGACGCAGAGTTCGTCATGGTTAGATCGAGCAATGCTCTGATACCATAATAGAAATGAAGCAAGGTAGAAGCAGAAATGAAATCATCTTACTTAGAATCAGATATTACAGAGTATTTATACAGGAAGTAATCATAGCTAACATAACCGAAGCTTAACAGAAAGCAGTTACATTGCTTTACAAAGAAATACACGTGTGGTTTTCCTACACTATTCCTAACAGGAATTGCAGGTTATACTAGAGAAGGTGGTGGATACCAGAAGAAATGTGGATGGAGTAACAGAGCTTCTCATACAATGGAAGGATTTACCTGAGTTTGAGAGATCTTGGGAAGATGCACAAGTATTGAAGGAGCAATTTCCAGACTTCTATCTTGGGGACAAGATAGATGTTCAGCCGGGGAGTATTGATAGAAGCACAGCTAATTCGAACACTAGAGATAAATACTTTGGCAGGGTGTATTCTAGAAGGAAGAAACAAGCTGCTAGTTATTAGTTATAGTCTGTTAATAACTAAATAACTACTTTTGTTGTTCGAACTACTATAAATAGAAGGGAGGCTGGGGGAAATAGGTAGGCTGTTAGTCTGTTATAGTCAGGACTGGGAAAGATTGAGATTCACGGTCTCTCTCTTTTGGGGCTTCGGCCTTTGTAGCTGGTTTCATTCAATAAAGTTCTGGAAAAAATTTCTATAGTTTGCTCTATATTTTTCTGTGAAATTATTGAGCTCTATCATGACGTTCTTGGTAGCAGCAATGCTTGAAATCTCATTCTTCTGAGACATGTAAGCAATTTTCCCTATTCTGTTGCTCAAAAAATATAATGTAGAACTACTGCATGGATGGTAGACACCATATAAATGGACAACACAGAATATGCAAATTACCTGTTTATTCAAAAAAGTAATGTCCAAGTGCGATATAAAACGAAAGAGTGACTCCATCTCCTTCCAAAATGGGCTGGAAAGCGCTTGAGCTTCATTAGCAAAATGTTAAATTAGAGTGTTAATAGACATTGTTTGACAAGGAAACGAAGACAAATTTCAGTAACAAATTACCAGTATTGGTAACATCACTTGCAGCAGCCAATAACTCATCTTGTCCATCACAGGAACCAACTATGAAAGGGGGGTAAACAGAATAATCAATAATAAAGTAAGTAATTTCCTCTACATGCATATGCCATCAAATACCCAGTCCAGTTACTGAGTTACAAGCTGTGGTTACCTAAATAATCTGCTGCAGCATTAACTGTTGAATGTTTCTGACGTTTATAAGCCTTACGATCAGAGAGCTTCCTTGTGGGAGGGCGACCTGCTTTGCTGCAAGAATAAGTCACATAAAATCATATGATCCACTCTACCAATGAGTGACACTCACAATTCACAGATACTCATCACCATCATTGCCATAACCCCAAATATGTTGAGAATGAAGGCATGAAGCTTATTCAGATAATTGTCTAAAAGTAAACAAAACTATTATTTCATGCATAAGCAGAGTGACAAAGTTTTAAGCTGGGAGTCCTTTCTGTTTCAACCTTCTAAACCGGCATTGTCAGACTTTTCCACTTGCATAGAAAATATCATAAGATGACTAAATTCATGTCCCACTGCATATGCTAATAACAAATAATGTAGGGTAATAAGATAATGTCCTAACCTCTCGGTTTTATCAAAATTATTTCTAGAGCTCCTCAGTTGTTTAGCTGTACCCACATTCCCAAGCTTTTCTACAGTTGAAGGCATGAAGGACCCACTGGAAGTCAAACTACGACTGGACCTCCCTTGCCTACGTACACCATCGCCATGCTCATCACCGCCTACCAACTTACTTTTTCTTGGTGGTAGTAGCAAAGTTGACATGTTTTGGACATCAAACCCAATTTTTCCATCCACTTCTTCAGACTTCTTGCTCTTATCTTTTGGCTTGGTATCAGCAACACCAGACTCCTCACTTTCAGATGCAGCTGACAAGTTGTCACTTTTAAACTTAAGACACTGAGGAGAAGAGCCAGACAATCGCCTATCATTACACACCACTGCCTCAGTCGAATTATCTGGGGCAAAAGTTTCACCATCATTGGAAACAATGGGAAAATGTGTTCGCCTCGCTGTTCGGGAGCTTTTCTGGGGTCGCTGGCTGGCCCACTGACCCACAGGTGGTGATGGGGACCTTCCTGAAGCCGTGCGCTTACGGTTAGCTACCGCGGAAGTCGAAGGTAGTTTGTTTGTACAATGAGAAACCTCCCAATCATTAGCAACTGCAGCACGTTGAACCGTGGGGGCCATTTTTTGTGCCGCGCATACACCAGATCGTGGGGCCCGTGCAGAACCATTCAACTTTGCACTAGAGGTAGGGCTTCCTGAGCTTAGCTCTTCCCGCGCAGTTGTCTTGGAGGCACTGGATAAAAAAGTTATATTGAAAATCAGAGATACATAGGCAAATGCAATATATAAGTATATAACATTACATTTTAAATGAGCCCCTAAGGATGCTTCACTAAATTAGAGAACATTCACTAATTGCAATCAATTCAAGTAAAAATAAATTATCTATTCTTCCCATACTTGTTGACAGCTCTAACATTTATTCTTTCTTTCTCTGAACCAACTGAACGGTCTCTTCTATCATGGAGATGACCATTATCCTGTTCAGCCTTAAAAAATGAAGAACGCATAACAACAGAAGCTTGTGGAGATGTTGCATCAGCTTTTCCCAGTCCAATGCCCCCAGTATTAGTTCCATTCCTACAATCACATTCCAAGAGACCACGTATATTAAATGAAAGTATCTGTATCTAAAAGAAAGATTAGGAGACATACTTCATGTTTCTAAATAAGAAGTTGAATAGCATACTAGTTCACAACAATCACAAGGACTCAGATTCATCTCTCTCCCACAAGTTCAAAGTATGCCATTGTCAATATTGAACTTTACTATTCTATCCATAAATGATTAAATCACCAATGATTATCTCTTAAAAAAAAGCTCTGGAACAAAATATAAAGCTACTACCATCCCATTATTTATCAAGTCCTAGACATCACACAGGAAAAAAACAATTCTTGGCAGGCAGGAAGAATTTGATATGGGTGGGACTCCTGCTAGAGCTGCGCAAAAGGACGAGGAGGGCATATATTATTATTGTTGTTATTAGTAGTAGTAGTAGTATTACAAGTTTCCTTTAGGGAAAAATAATTCAAATACTCCAAACTTTAGAGATGTGTGAGGTTAACACCCCAACTTGCATGTGTAATTTAAATACCACAAACTTTACATTTTAGCACCATGGTCATATGTTTTTTTTTTTCAAAAATGTAAATTTATGGTATTAATTACATAGTTTAAAATGTTTTTATTTCAATTATTAAGCATTAAAATTATATAACTGAGGGTACGTAATATTATTTACACTGAAAATTTAGAATGTTAATTATATCTTCATGAATGAAAAATTAAATAAATTATGCAATTAACACCAAAAGTTTACATTTTTTAAAGAAATAATATATTAATTTTTAACCATGGTGCTCATTTTTAACAGTTTGGCGTATTTGAATTGCGTTTCCCTTTCCTTTATTAGTACTCCCTCTGTATTTAGGGTTTAGGGCAGATTGTCATATGGTTATATATTTAAATTATTTAAATTATTTGCTCAGAAAGATATTCAGGGGGGAGATGGAAAGATGTACTTGATAAACTAAAAGCCATCTCTTTACATAACAAGTTGACCTTCCGACACTCTTCGTGAAGAAAATTGGACAGCACATTAACTCCCAAAAGGCATTTGGATTTTGGACTCTTTAGTTGTTCGCAAACTGTTAATCTGCCTATTATTGTTCGAAATGCATTATTCTTAGATGCTTATGGTATTTCAGGCTTTTGTGATATTTACGGGTAAGTTCTAGTCCCCCATTTTCTGCATTGTGTCTTTTTAAAAAAACTAATAAATGTTCCCCGGCATTTACCCCATTGAAAGATGGTTTTCTAATGGGAACAAAAAAAAAGAAAAAAGAATTGCCAAAGGCCTTCAAGAAAGATGAGCGGACACAATTTAAGATGTGGCCGAGGCGGAAGCCTCTTAGACACGCAAAAAGTGGCAAAAGGCGAGGTGTAAGGCGCGCCAGTTAGCATTTACTGCGCATGGCCGCATGGGACTTTTGGATGCAATAAATGCATCGCTCAGTGGCGCCTTGCACCTTTGCACGCCTTTTCAACCAAGATCTCTCCTTAGATTTTTCTGCACTATTCACTACCCCTATTATTTCACTCTTAAACTCCGTGAAAACCTTATAGTTGCAAGTGAATAAATATGGAAGGGGTATTATTGAGCTATTACTATTAGTTTCCTATTATTTTAAAGACTACTTTCCTATTAGTATAAGAATTATAATTACTTAGTATTCCTAATAGCAGTATAGTAATAGTTTAGGATTATGTTACGGGCCCATATGAAGTTGCACTAATACTAGTCCACAAGGACTCTTAGAAATAGTATAAATAGAGGTGTTATATACATCAAAAGTATCACCAATAACTTCAGAGTTATTCCTTGGAATCTTGACTAGGTTGAACGCCGCCACTTCTTGCCTAGGGCTGGGATGCTCTTCATTTTTATTTACTTCAATCTTCTAATACATCTCATAACCACACCCGAAACAATTTGGTATCATTGTAGCACATTCCTTCCCTACATTATTGTTTTTTCCTTCTCATATGCTCCAACATTCGAAAGCCAAAATAAGGGAGAGAGCCCATCGGATAAAGAAACACAAATTCTTCAGCTAAGCTATGGAAACTATCGTTGACCAGTTAAAATTCTGACACCAGCAGATCTACTTCACATTTAAAATTTTCTTTTATTTTGTAATTTTTTTCGGGTAAATTAGGCATGCATTAATGTATGGAGTAGAGTGTTGGACGGTGAAACAATGTCACATTTAAAAGATAAGTGTGGTAGAGATGTGTGTTGCGTAGGATGTGTGAACATACCGGTGAAAGAGCACCTATAGAAGATAAGATGCAGAAGTCTCGATTGCAGTAGTTTAGTCATGTGCACAATGTTAGACGACTTGAGAGGTGGGGAGAAGAAACGGGGAGGAGGAGAGAGGAAGACTCAAACAGATTTGGATCAGAGGAATCAGAACCGATATCTTTCTTCTTGGGTTGAATGAGAGTATGACTTTAGAGAGAGCAGTGTGGAGGGCGCATATTTGTGTAAATGATTGATCTCTTTTCTCTCTCTCTCTTTCTTTTATCCTTTATCTTATTTATCTCTCAATGTTCTTGTGTTATTTTTATCTTTTATCTTTCTTATGCTCGTTTATCTTTTTATGTTTTATCTTTTTTATATTCTTATGTTATTTTTATCTTATACTGCCTCTGTCCCAAATTCTAAAGCACCGTACGGTTTACGATGTTTGACCGACGATAAAGCAAACGGATCCCTGTCCGCATTCAAATTGTTTTTAGAAAAAAAGAATTACATATTCAAAAACTAAATTAAAAGCTTTACAAAGTTGCAAAACACAGAATTAAATTTGATAAAAATTGATATACTACATCTGTCCCGGTTGACTTTGCCAAGTGCAAAGTAGGTGATAAATAAGAATAGTAAAAACTGTGTGGTTGAGATTTGTGCAGAGGAGAGAGAAATGTGCAGAAACCACAAATTAGTTGCTTTAATAGGAAAGTGGCAAAGTTTTTTGGGACAACCAAAAAGGAAAGTTGTCAAAGTCCAATGGGACGGAGGGAGTATAAAGTAAGAGATTAAGAGTGAATTGTGTTGACCAAGTGAATAGGAAAGATATCTTACAAAATGGGACTGAAGGAGTATTTATCTTTATCTTATCCGTTTTATCTTACTTTATCTTTTTATTCTTCTTATCTTTATTCTTTTTTTGGCTCTGGCATCATGGATCAATTCATGTTAGCTGCCGATCCCAAAATCTTTTGGGAATAAGGCTTGGATGTTGTTGTTGTTGTTTGTATTTTTTCTATAAGGTGGTTTATTCTATGTCTTCTATTTCCAAGTGTGTGTGTGTTATTGAGCAAGGTTATTTTATGTTTTTATTAACAACTATGTAGATTAAAAAAGTCTGAATTCAAAAGAAAAAGGTCCAAAAGTATGAGGAAAAAAAGAGAACGAGTTCCAGAACTTTGCATGCCTCTTTTCCAATTTCTATTGTTCTATTGATGAGTATCATATAAACTGTTTTTTCAAATATGTTGGTTCAAAACATCAGAAGTTTTGAAGTTTGTCAAGGTGTTACAACAAGCTTTGGTATATTTTAATTCCACCTGTATAAAATGGCTGCGCAGCTGGCATTTGCGGGGGGGGCTTGTGAACTATTGCACCATGCTAATTACCTACGAGATTCCACTAACCATGGTCTAAAAAGGCGCTTAAGAGGTGGGTTTTGAGGTGCGCCTTGAGACGTACAGAGAAGGTTTTGAGGCTCAAGTTTTTTTTGCAGGACAAGAGGCTACACCTCAAAATTCAAGGCGCCTTGAAGCGCTTTTGTGAGGTGTTTTTCCTTTGCTTCTATCTTTTTAATGTCCTGTAGCATAAAAAGGCAGTTTTTATTTAATAAAAGGGTAAAAAGGCTCATACATTAAACACGTGTCTACACTAAACCCAAACTAGTCTAGTTTCATTCAAACCCTAACATATACTCCCTATTAAGCATTCTATGTGTCGTTAAAATTTATCCATACTTCTGCACAAAGAAGCAGATGCGTAACCAAGGAAAAAAATAAGAATAATAAACAAGTAATGGAGGTAAATGATGATGATGATGATGATGAAGAAGAAGAAGAAAAAGAACTTAAGGATTTTGATAGTGGTGATAGAAGGGATGAAGGTGAGAAGGCTATAACATATAAATATATAATGATTCTTCTGAAGACCCTCCAGTCATGATGATTAAGCTTCGAGAGTTTCAAATTGCCATATATGTGATAATGTAGTATGTTTGTTTGGTACTTTTGTGTTTGAGTTATAGTGTTTGATGATGTGATCATATATGTGTTTGTGTGTGAGACTTTGTGGACTTTTATTATGCATATTTATAGTTGGTTATTACTAGTTTAACTATTTTCAGTTTTAATTGTTGGTAAATTTTGAGGCACACGTCTCGCCTCACCTCTCTCGAACAAACCGCCTCGATACCCAAACTAGCCTTTTTAAACCTTGCCACCAACAATGTTCCATTGTTCGAACTACAGCAAACAGGTGCTGTCAGTGTATATATCATCCAGTTCTGGTGTCTGTTGACACACACAAAGGTCTTGCCCATCTGAATCTAGGTAAACTCCTTAAAGAACGAACTTCAAGAGGATATTTGTTTGGAATTGGATTATCATTATCCCAGAAATACGGATGCCGCAATCAGTTTGGTAAAACAATTTGAGCAAAAGCAACATTCACATCAATATGATTCTCCATCTTTCTTAGAAACTTAAATGTCAGCATCCCCATCTGCCCCACATAACATCAAACTTTTTCACTGAAACGGTCAGCATCTATTGTTTGCATCACCATCACCAGACAAACAATCGACATTGCCTACATCATTCTCAACATTTCAGCCGCTAACAAAGCCATCCTTGCCACCGCTGTCAGCCGCTAACTTATTTCTGCCAGATTAATTAGAAGGCCACGATGCGGAAAATTGGTCCGATAGCGTTGTTAACTTACACCTATCCTCTGGAGGTAGAAGGTTTCATGTTATTCTGTTGCGTTGCTTGGCTAACAAACCAAATACCACTTATGGATGCGATCTTTATGTCAATGGTGGGAGTGAAATTGGATTTGAAGAAGTTTTGATGATACCTAACTTGATTGGTCATCTAGGCTTGCAAATTGAAAGGCATTGATAAAGTAGAATCAGTAGACCTTAAACTTCCTGGATCATTTGGAGATATTATTACAGTACCAATTGTTTGTGATGTGAAAAGCAGTGAACCCAATTCCTTTTTCATCCTGACAAGCCCTAGACAGTTGCATTTTTATGAGAACATTTGTTGCTGGTCTACCGGGAAATCTGAGCAAGAGAACAATCATTATGTTCTTCAGGGTGACAACATCACTCTCCCTGAAGAGAATCTGGTTAAGCCCGGTTGTGGACAGCTTTGTTCAAAAGGGATGATAAAGGGTCAAGTAATGAAGATCATGATCCAACAACCAAGAAGGTATTAGGAAGGAAGAGGTGCGAGGATGAAGCTGAATAACATGGTTGTGCCTTACTCCCCACCTTGAGGACAAGGTGGTTGTCAAGGAGGGGAGTGATGATAGGGACCTAGATAGTACTAGTAATAAGAATAATATTTAGTATTGGATATTGTACAATAACAGAGTTCTAGGCCCAATAACTTAGGGCTCAGGGCCGGCCCATTAGGAGAGTATTATAATAATGAGTGAGTAAGGGGAAAATGCAGGAGAACTTTGAATAGGACTGGAACTTGGGAGAGAAGAGGGCAAGAGGCACTCTCGAACTTGCCTCATCTGTAATTCCGTTTACGTTGCTTCACTTTCCTTCGTAAGTTACCGACAGATTTCTGGAGTTCTCTATCAGCATCAAACCACTTTATATTTTACACTTATTGTAATCCAAAAAATCCATGTAGGATTAAATAAATAGCATATCCACAATTAAGACCACTCAACAGCTACTCATCAAGCCAAACACACACATTTTGTAGCAGCCATCCATCACTGCTACAGGTTCCTCATCGTACTCCACAGGCCTATGCAGTGCACTGGAGCCCAAGTTGAGACATGCATAGAATATAAGAGAAGTCTGAGAGGCATCTTTTCCATCTTCTCAAATGATCCATTCCATATTGTCATTACACTTTTTACATCATAGCTGGCTTTCTTTTCATAGTTGTTCATGTGAATGGCTAAATTGATTTTTTGTTGGTGGGGATGGAAAATGGAAAGCTTAATCAAGCTGAAATCATCAAAACTCTACTAACACATAATGCATTCCTGTACAGGAGGGTTTGTCTCAATTTGTTATAGCAAGGTTAAATAACTACTCCATTCTTGACATTTGAAAGGATCCATATCAAATCGAGATACTCGAATATGACTACCCATCCTCTAAAAGTAACTTAATTGGAAACAAAATCAATACTCTTCAAAATTCAAACAATCCATTCTTGTATGATGATACAGACCAAAACTCATATATGTTATTGATTTAGCAGGGATTATTTGATTTAGCAGGGATTATTTGTTCTCATATCTCAATACATAATGCATTCTCAATTAAAGGATTCAGATACTCACAATTGAAATAGAATACATTCCTGAACTAAGCAGGAACTACGCTGGGTAAAAGGAGTTGCAGGTTTACCTGAAGCTCTGGTTTTCACCCAACCTTGGACGAGCATCAGTTAGAAGTCGTGACTGCACTCCATGTTTTGATTCCCGATAGCCGTCAACTGTTTTAGCAGCAGCAGAACCCCCAGAAACGTCTGGCTTTATTCCAGAACGCTTTTTCTTCATCCTTAATTTCTCCCAACCTTCAATGGGAAGAGACGTTGATGTTCGATCATCGCACTGGATAGGGTTATTGTTGGGAAGCCTCAGTAAATCCATATCTCTATCAAGATTTCCTGACTGCCTTGCAGGAGTGTTCGGTCGTACATCAGACTAAAATAACAAAACAAATTAGTCAACCCTTTCAAAAATAAAATTTGAAGGACTTAAAGTATATATGATGACGAAGAGGAAAAACAACTTCATGAAAAATGGAATCAATCTAAAATTTAAATTAATGGAAATTTATCAATTTACTATCAATTTTGGACCTAAAAGATATTTGCTCTCATTAAGGGACCTAAAAGATGGTAATCAATCACTACGAGACCTAATGAATTAACACCGTTAATTTCTTTTTAACGGAACCTGACATGGCGCCACGCAGATCCAATAAATACCACACGTTGTTTACTCCGTATTGTCTGGCAGCCGCCTAATTCTCTCTCCATGTTTTATTTCATCCATACTTTTCGTACTGCTCTTCTTAACCTCATCCAGACTCTTCATTCTTTCTTCAGCATCCCTACTCTTGAACTTTATCTTTACTTCCAAAAACTTCAACAAAACTCATCCACTCCCAACCGCACTTCCTCATCTCCCACTCCCAGCCGCAGCTCTTCAATCTTCATCTTCCGCTTTTCTGTCGCCTCAACTTCGTCCTGCGACCAATCCAGCCATGGTGTCGTTTTACCAACCCAGCCATGGTGTATATTACTAATTGCAGACTTTTAATTTTTTTGTTTTTTTATAACTTTTTAACTAAAATCGAAGGGCAAAAAATCAGGGAAAATAAGACAATTTGGTACGGAAGCCTCGCTGGCCGCTGATGACAGGGGTATCGACGCCGGAGAAAATGATGCGTCTGCTTTGAATCCTCTCGATTTTCGGGTGGAAGCTGAGGCGCCTTCTGAATAGCAGCATCCGACAAAGAACGACCAAGACGCTGCTCCGGCAGAGGACGGAGAGAGATGCAAGCGGTAGAGCAGATAACATGGGCGAGCGAAGGTTTGACATTTGCGCCATGTCAGATTCCGTTAAAAAGAAATTAACGGTGTTAATTCATTAGGTCTTGTAGTGATAGATTACCATCTTCTAGGTCCCTTGATGAGAGCAAATATCTTTTAGGTCCAAAATTGATAGTAAACTCAACTTTCAGGTCTTAAATTGATAAATTTCCTAAATTAATTGACTAGGAACGAAAAGTAGAATCCAATAGTGTTGGCACAAAAAGGAGATCCAATATCAATGCTAGGGTCTAGCACTCTAGCTACAAATCATTTTTTGAAGGCCATTCACAATAAATAAATAAATAAATAAATAAATAAATAAATAAATAAATAAATAAATAAATAAATAAATAAATAAATAAATAAATAAATAAATAAATAAATAAATAAATAAATAAATACAACAACAACATCCAAGCCTTAGTCCCAAAAGATATTGGGGTCGGCTAACATGAATCGATACATGATATCACAACCAAAAGGAAAAGAAGGAATAAAGATAAAAGATAAGCTATTATGAAAAGATAATATAAAAAAGATGAATATATATAGAAATGATAAAATAAAAAGGCTGCAAATAATGCATATATATATATAAGGATAAAAAAACTAGGAAAAAAAGATGAGGGAAAAGGAGGAGGGTGTTGTGGTAGGCGTGTGACGGCCAACAGTATCACCTAGTCACATCACATGACATGAATCGAAATATGAAACAAATAAATAAATAAATAAATAAATAAATAAATAAATCACTAAATAAATCACTCAATCAATAAATAAATAAATAAATAAATAAATAAATAAATAAATAAATAAATAAATAAATAAATAAATAAATAAATAATAAATGAAGTCCGAACAGAGAAGAAATTCGGGGAGTGGGGGTAAAAATAAAAAGGATAATGAAAATAGATCAGCAAGAAACTATCATCATATCAAGTCTTGACCAAGAAACGTCTAATCCAACAGAAGGTGAAACAAGGTATGAACATTTGAATGAATGAAAGATCAAGTTTGCAGTTCACTGGATACCATAGAAGTTCGGGTACGTTTGCTTGGAATAATAGTTTTTGTCCTTTCATCTAAATTTTGCTGCTCCACTTCAAACCCGCTGATGTTGCTAAGGTTTTGAGTTCCCATCTTACTAATGCTTGTCCCGCAAACTGGACGTTCATTTGAAAACAAAACACTGTTTCTATCATTGGATAAGACATCTGAGCGAAATCTTTTCCTTGACGGAACATTAGGAAAACATTTGTTGAAGACAGATGAAGATTCGTAGAATATCTTCACACGTTCCCTGATATAATGTACAGTTGTACATATTATAAAGAATAGCAATTGACTCCATGAAGTAAACAAAGAACCAAGAAAAGATGACATTCCGAAAACTACCTCGCCTTGCTGCAACTTTCTCGAAGACTTAACTTTAGCCGTCTAACATCCTCGGGTGAGGAAGAAGATATTGGTTTTCCTTTTGAAGGCATGGATGGAGAATCTTCCAGGGGTGCACCAAGTGATAGACTTGTTAGCCGCTTAAAATCTATTTGTCTGAGTTTGTGTTCAGTAACCATTGCTTTTGGATCAATACGTAAGCACTGAAAGAATTTGACAACATCTCCCTGGGTTGCACCAGAACTGCTGCTTCTTGCCATGTTTGGAAGAGAAGATAACATTGGATTGTCCATGTTACCTGTTTTCTCAAGTAAAGTTGCTCCATAGGATCTACGCTGCCCAGATCCATATACAATCCTATCTGGGCTACTGGAAGTGAGGTCATATTTACTAGATGCAGACATTGCATCAATTGCCAAATGCTTTCCTTGTTACGCACCCCGTTAGCACAGTTTTGCATGGCAATACTGGTCAACAACTGTGCATGAATAACAAACACATACTGTGATTATAAAGTAAGTGTCACAATTCCTGCAAAAGAAAAAGATTCCAGCATAACATGAGTCCCATTTAGAATAAGGTATTAAGGTGTGGTCTGCTTCAACTTATTTTTTGAACGTATCACTTATTATTAACTTAATAAGATAAAACCCGATATAAGAAAGATTAAGACCCCATATTGGAAAGGTCCAGACCAGCCCACAAATATTCAGAAAATATGAGAAAATTGAACAAGATCAACATATTTTCCCAGATGTTATGTTATATTTCAGATAGCAGAAACATCTGGACCAGATAATAATAAAAAATCACATCATTTTCAGGAAAAGAAAGCAGGTCCTAAGTTATCAAATGCAATCATAAAAAAATCAAGCTAATATACACTCCTCTCGTCTTTTTCTTTTTTGGGCCGTCCTCAATAATTCTTCTCATTCCTATTGAGGAAAGAATTGTTTAGTTAATATTGTTGCATGCTTTTCTAGATAAACCAAACAATTTCACTTTTTAGTTTTAATTTTAACTAATAGTTTCAAGTCAAAATGAGAGGAATTTTGGACAGAGAGAATAGATCACATGTATAGGTGCACATTAAGTTTAAAAGTAACGGAATGGTGAAAATCACAATTTTATTCCTAACTGAAAAGTAAATAATTATGTTTTCGCTAATCCTGAAAAGTATAGAGAGGAGGACTTAAAAAGCTAAAATCAATTTGGGATCTATTGACTATATCACTATAGTACTAATAAACTGCCAGTTTTACCTACACCACTGACTTTAGCTACTTTGCTACCGGCTATAAGACTTATGCATGTTGAATTAAGATTATGACAAGCCAAAAGCCTATAATTGAATAGTTGATACCAAATACTTGTAAGAAGAACATAAATGCTAAGACCATGGCTTTAACATAGTTGGATCCCATTTTTGAAATTAAATTTCAACTTTCAATTGTGAACATTCATCAAATGCCAAACATTAAACAAATCCTTAAAATACAATCAAACACAACTTTAATTCTTGCTTAAAGCTCCTCAAAATGGAAATAAACAAGATAACTCTCATTGTTTCAAATTTGGGTTTTGGAATCACTAGTATTTCATACTCCAGCTTTTTCTAGAAACATATACTGAAAGAATGCATATAAATCATGCTCATGAGTTCATCATTTCTCAAGTAAGAAAATTCAATATAAAATAATTTTGTTTTCTTTGCCAATTTTCCCACTAAACTAACTGAAGAAAAAGTAGTAAAAAGATAATAGAAGGCACTGTGGTATAAATGCACCATGCTGAATGCCGAAGTATCTGTCAAACTTATACTGCGTATAATTTGCTTTTGTTATTAGTCTTGTGTCCAATAAAATGTTGAGTGGGAGTGGTGCAGAGAAATACCTACTGGCTACTGCAAAACACTAAGAACAACAATAGTTATAGCTATTTTGTGGTTCCAAATAACAAATTTGAACTTTCTGGAAAGTTATCCCCACCCAGAGATTTGAGAAAACAGCTTGTGCTCTGACTATATTTTGAACAATAAATGTTCTCATTCTTAACACAGGCAATCCAGTTTCTTTGCCTAAAATTTTCTTTTCCTAAGCTAAAAATAGAAACTGACAAAAAATGAAGCATTGTTACAGATGTTCCAATGTAAAATAAATACTCTTAATACTTTAAAGAAAAAACCTACAGAAACACAGATCACAGAAGGAAAATACCAAAAGATAACTGAATCAGTCTGCTAGAAATTAAAATATATAAATACCTCACAATTTAAAAAATAGAACAAAGGAAAAACTTATCTGAAACGAGAAAATTAGATCTGTAAGTGGTCTATCATACACATATTCGGAAATATAGGGTTCGGAAATATAGGCTAATAGAAGATCTGTAGAGTACTATTTCCGATTTGAAATTTTGACCATCTAAAGTTCATTCATTAATCGTATAAACATCTAATAATTGAAACTAGACATAATTTTTATTTGAGTGTTTAATTTAATAGGGTTGGAAGTTGAAGGAGCGGAAGATTGAAATGGAGCGCAGAAAAAGAGTTACCTTGGGATATGGAAGTAGGTGAATTATCGGATATATGACACCAGAGCCGAAGGAAAAAGCCTGAAGAAATTTTTTAGGTGTAGTAATTGTAGAAAGAATTGGAGTTGGCCATTGCGTCGAAATATATAGAATGAATGGTAGAAATATACTCCCTCCTTCCTTGTAACTTTTTCAACTTTACTTTTTTTGTTGTCCCAAAAACTTTATCACTTTCACTTTTAATCAACCAATTTGTGGCTCATGTTATTTCTCTCTCCTCTGCACAAATTTCTACCATACAGTTTTTACTTTATTATTCTACGTGCCGGTCAAACATGGCAAACCTTTAAGGGACGGAGGGAGTAGAATTTTTTAGATGTAGTAAGAATTGGAGTTGGAAATTACGGAGTATTTTCCAACTAATATGTTCTCATTTTAGATGTAGCAAAGTGTTGTTGTAGAATGAGATTTGAAGAAAAGTTCATAGGAGTATATATGAAGTTAAGTTCATAAGTAAAAAGTAATCTTTTCCGTGAGAACAAATCTTGTTTTTTTAAATCAAATAACTAATTTATTATTAAAAGATAGCAAAGATACAAGACAAAGAATAGTTTAACGCTACAATGAGATGAAACATACATCGGAAAAGATCCAATGAAATCTTCCCGATCGATAATCTCGTAATAATGTAGTCTAGACTAACAGCTTTGTTGCTCTTCTTGTTACTGTAAAGATCCGGCTTCACTAGCCACCGGAAAGGGAGAATTGGTTTGACCAACAACCAACGAAGAAAACTCAATTGAGCAAAAATTATCTGAATCATCAGTTTGACCAGCCACCGAAAAAAAGATTCAGTTAAGCGCTATCTTTTTCTTCGAATGAGGCGGTGGTTTAGGAGGAGGGCGAGTAACTGAAAGTTCAGCAGAATTAGGTTGAACTTGTCTTGCCAACAATGAATGATGAACCACTCGATTGGTTACACTGACGAGGAAGACACAACCTCTAGACATTGCTAGGAGAAAAACAAAACACGCGCTCACTTGAAGTGGACATGACTCTCGCACAAATAAGATGTCAGACCAAAACCAAAGAGACAACATAGCAACAATTTTGATTCATCAGAACTCTTGTCAATCTGAGAAAAGAGACTGGAAGATTATAGCGTCAAGGAGCTCGCCGCCTAGGGTTTCCTTATGGCCAGCTCATGTATCATGTGAGAGCTATTTAATCATAACAAGAAAGATGGTGATACATAACTAGTACCGGGATACCACTAGTGGTATGTAGAGAGAAGGCAGTGGTGTTACATGTGTGAGAGAGATAGCAATAGTATTGATCAATATTCGAATTGTTACAACTACCCAATGGGCTACTACTTATACCAGTCATGAATGCCAAGTGCATTAAATGCACATACATTTGTAAGTTAGTCTATGACGGAGAGCACCGATGTGACGTGAATATGTGATAAGTCTGATTTGTTCATATATTTTCATTCACTTTTTATAGTGTTTCTTGTCAAACTCGGGACAAATTATATATTTTTCTGCGTTTTTGTTGCATTTTTGTTAATGTTTGAAATTAGCGTTGAAATTTACATTTTTGAGTGATTTGTGTTTAATTCAAGTGTTTGGATTGATTTTATGTTTTTTTTTCTTCTTATTTGTGTTATCAAATTTTAGCATTCTATCATATTTCAATGTTTTTCTTGATACAATAAACAAATGAAGTGAATTATTTTTCTAATAAATGAAGTGCATTAATTAATCAAGAAAAGCAAAAAAGAAAAAAGAAAAAAACTAACTGCAGCTAAGCTGCGTGAAAAGAGAGAAAAGCAAACGAAAGAAAAAAATAAATAAAAAGACTTGGGAGAGCAGCCGGCCAAAAAAACACAATTCACCCGCGCCAAAGAAGATAGCAGCTGGCCGGAAGGGAAGAAACGCAGGACGAAAACCGCAGCCAGCTACTCCATGTTCATTCATCTTTCAATCTTAGTTGTTAAGGTTTCGTGTTAAATTTCTTCTTTAATTTCATGTTTGAGTAAGCTTTAAATTTCACTCTTGGATTATTTATCATTTGGAACTACTCTTAAGTTGGATTTTGAACTGTTATTATGTTGAATGAATTTGTATTTGAATTATATGTTTCCTTTATTACTTTAGCTCCTCCATTAATGTGGTTAGTTTCTTGCTAAGCATGTTAGGCTAAATTTCCATAGGGTTTGGATTTGGATAAAGTTAAGGTTAGTGGGTGTTCCTGAATATTGAGTTGAATTTGGGAAAATTCTCTAATTTTTAGAACTGGTTGTTTGAGATGAAATTGAAAGAGTAATTTGTGAAATTGATCACTTCACTTGTGAATTTTTGGAAAATTGATATTTTCTTGTCTATGAGTTTAGAATTAATTTTAGCTCACATCTCACACACCCTAAACTAAGCCTAGAAATAGGACATCTTAGGGCAATTAATATTAATTTCTTGTCTATGAGACACCCAAGATCCTTAATTCCAAATCTAGAGCCCACTTTTAATTAGTTAATTTTTGGTTACTAGTCACATTGAATTTACCTTTTAAGTATTTTATTTTCGAAACTTTACTCATCCACATGTTTGCTAGTTTAATATTTTTTACTAGCTAATATTCTCTCTCAAGTTATTTTGCATGTTCACTAGTTTTAGTTTACTCATTAATGTCATTTAATTAAATTCTCCGCTACTACTTTTGTTGTTTAATTTTATTTACTTAATCATTATCACAATTAATCGTTTGAGAAAGCTTGCAACGATTCATACTAACCGGTGACCGATATTGAAACCAACACTTCCCTCCGCCACTCCTCAGAGACACGATACTCGGGGAAAAACCAAAAGGTTAGACTCCGTTTACTACAACGCCGCGAAAGCGGTTATCAATATGTGGCACAACATTAAATGTGGTGGATGGGCACTGAGAAGCACGAGAAAAGCTCTATGTGACGAGGTTGGTGGCATCGCCTTAGGGAACCGAGGGCTATTTCCCGAGGGCTCACCCCGAGACGGGAATGATCTGGGTCATATAAGTGAGGCAGTCTTTCAGTGATTCTTCTTTCTCGAAGCCCTCAGCCTTGGGCTCGAGGGGTGTCCAGTTGCTGTGTTGGGCCAGCTATGGTTGTTGGGTCTATTGAGATTGCGGGATTATTTTAACCGGGGGTCCTAGGCCTTATACTCCATCAGGAGTCCCCCGCTCCCATTGTCGATAGCTACTCGAGGTAAAGGGGACTAGTTTCGTGGAGTTTCCAAATGCATCTTTTTTGTGCTTTGCTTCTCGATATTTTGCTTTAAAAAGACCGATGGGTAGTCCCCAAGCCCCCTGCTCCTTATGGATGAAGACAATTTAGGCAGAGGGGGTTGAGTTGTTATACTAACTTGAGAACTTTATTATGGCCATTGTGTATATCTCTCAACAAAAAAGATGGAAGGTAGAAGGGTAAGATTCAGGAAATGTTACTCCTATCGAGTAGGAAAAGGTTGGAGTCCGGACACACCTGGCGTGAAAATAACTCGGATGCGCATTATATTGCTAATTCTTCCACGGGCCATTTACGTACTTATAATAGGCATGTTGATCTGCCAACTATGGCTAAAAAGGCTTATTATATGGATTTAATTGGCATCCCTCTTTTAGATGTTTTTATTAATTTTTATCAATTGGGTCAGGTCCCCCCCCCTAATTGTCTTTTGTTTCGTTGTTTGCAGTTGTATATCTGGGAGGTATGCCTCCCTTGGAAAGGTTTTGGTATAGTGTCCCTTTCCATTGTACTTTTCATCCAGTTTTAATAAAATTTGGTAAATGTTCCCCGACATTAACCCCACTGATTTTGGTGGTTTGTCTTTCGGGTTAAAAAATTGAGGACTTTACTGTACCTTTTTGCCATTGTGTGTTGTGACCAGTGGAGTCACATTATATTCTGGGGCCCATAGTGTTTGTGGGTTAGTGTAGAGGCCATAGGCATTTGTGTGGCGCTTCTGATTGGTCCTGGTGGAAGCAGTTGCCAAGGGCTCATGGGAAAACGTATTTGAAAATCTTCGGGGCCTGTAGGTTGTGATGTCTGCGACTGAAGGTGAGTTTGAACAGAAGGTGGGGTGCTACTGAAATGATTGTTGGTGGGTTATTGTTGAAGGAGATACCACGTGTTGGACGTGGATAGGGCCGCTGTGGACGGGGTTTTTATTGGATCGGCCCGACGGTTTGTAATGATGGCTATTTTACCGGGGGAAGTTTCGAGGTCAACCGTTGTTAAGTTGGTTATAAATACCCTTGGTCCGGAGTCATTTTGCTCTCGCGTTTTTTATTTCTAGATCAAAGCTCTAGCCACTTTTAGAGAGTTAAACTCTTCGCTAATTCAAAACAAACTTCCAAGGTCAGTTCTTCGTATGTACTTGTCATTTCTCTAATACTTTGCTTCTCCAGTATTAGATTTAGTGTTAGTAGTTCGCACTCTTAGGGTCGTGTGCAATTTGTCAATTGCTATGAAGTGATGTCGTCCGAAGGTGATTCTCATAATATATCTGTGTCATCGTCAGTACAGTCCGAGACTTGGCTGGATGAGAGGTCCCTAAGCCCAAAGCCCTCAGTAGGGGGACATTCTGAAGTTGCTCGGGAGGTAAGCGACCACCTTCATACTGATGTAGAAGCCAGAGGCTCTGTGAAGGAACTGGAGGACAGGTAAATGGCTGAGGTTGTCCAAATTGAGGAAGAGGAGGTCGAAAAAGAACGCCTTGTTCCCACACCGATGCACTACCGAGGGGCAACGATGAAGCTGGATCTTATTCCCAATTACCATGCCTGAAGCCCCTGCCAGTAGTTAGGAGAAAGAAAAGGAAAGAGGTCACTGAGAAGCCTGGCGGAACCGCTGACATTCTCGAAAGGCATTAATTTCTCAACACACTGCGGCCTTGCTCTGAGGATGAGGGCGAATGAGGCGGATCATCACATGATGCAGTTTTACGTCGAGCC